AAATTGCGTAACTTTCCTTCCTCCTGCGCTTTTTTTCTTGTCAGATTTTGAGATATTCTTCTGCGCCTTGCCCGCTTTTTTGGCAGCCTTACCGCTAGTTTTGGGTGGCATTTTATTGTGAGATGATGCTGAGTATAATCGACACCAACGCTCGACTAACGGAACGACTGCAATTCTCTGGCCGTATTTAAGACAGGTGACGTTACGACCGTAGACTCCGCCCCCAGGCGTTTGCCGGCAAACGTTCGCGTCGATTGGTCGGTTAGTTCATATAAATACAACGTTCGCGGAGATCATGTTGTGCATTTGCAAGTTCATAGTCGACGTCGTTCGTTTAGCAGATTAACAAATTGAATATGTCAGGACGCGGAAAAGGCGGTAAAGTTAAGGGAAAGGCAAAGTCCCGATCCAGCAGGGCCGGCCTACAATTTCCCGTCGGTCGTATCCACAGGTTATTGCGAAAAGGGAATTATGCTGAACGCGTCGGTGCCGGAGCTCCCGTATATCTAGCGGCCGTTATGGAATACTTGGCCGCTGAAGTTTTGGAATTGGCAGGCAACGCTGCTCGCGACAATAAAAAGACCCGTATTATTCCACGTCATCTGCAATTGGCCATCAGAAACGACGAAGAATTGAACAAATTGCTTTCAGGCGTCACAATTGCCCAAGGAGGAGTTCTCCCTAATATCCAAGCTGTTCTTTTGCCGAAAAAGACGGAGAAGAAAGCCTAAAAAAAAAAATCTTCTGAACATACAATCGGCCCTTCTCAGGGCCAACAAGTAATTTAATAAGAAAATGAAGGGATTATCATTTGTATATGGAAAAATTTTCTCAGGGTGATATCGGATCGGTTGTGGCGCGAGAAGTTGGCAATAACTAAATTATTTAATCGAGGCATCTCATCGTCGCATTCACGTCTAATATTCGCCGGTATCTCGATAATGGGACATATCGGGACCGAAATCGTCGATTATTTGTAATTCAAAGAGCCAAAACGTATAAGTCGATCAATTTATCATATTCCGATAAACTCATTTATGTGAGTGTTCTTTTTATTTTGTATAAAAAAAAATAGAAAATTAATGTGGCGGTTCCAATCGGCAGATCCATTCTTTCTCACGAGAGTATATGGTGGTTCTGAAAAGAACCGTTTTTTTTTCTTTGTATTGTATTTTCGTTCAACCTGTACCGTGGTAATTGCTGCGGAGTGTTTAACCACCGAATCCGTACAAAGTGCGTCCTTGTCTCTTTAATGCATATACGACGTCCATTGCAGTGACTGTCTTCCTTTTAGCGTGCTCGGTGTAAGTGACTGCATCCCTGATTACGTTCTCTAAAAAGACTTTGAGCACTCCTCGAGTTTCTTCGTAAATCAATCCGGATATACGTTTTACTCCTCCACGTCGCGCCAATCTTCTTATGGCCGGTTTCGTAATTCCCTGGATGTTATCCCTCAAAACTTTACGATGCCTTTTCGCTCCTCCTTTTCCCAATCCTTTACCACCTTTACCGCGTCCAGTCATTTTTCAAGATTCTCTCGCACGTCGAACTGTTAAAGCGAACGGGCTGTTGCCAACTGACGGTACGTCTCTCGTGACGCCCGGTTTTGTTAGCGTTGTCGTCCCTCCTATTGGTCTATCAATTGGCCAATCAGACTGTTTCGTATTTCGAGCCCATATAAATATAACTGTTCGCGGTGTTTACCTCCGCTCACTATAATATTGTCCGTTGCAATATTCACGTCGCTGCTATATAGATAATTTATATTCAGTTATCTGAAATTTAACGTAATGGCGCGTACCAAGCAGACGGCTCGTAAATCCACCGGAGGTAAGCTCCCAGGAAGCAATTAGCCACGAAGGCTGCCCGTAAAAGTGCTCCTGCTACTGGCGGAGTTAAGAAACCTCACCGTTATCGTCCGGGAACTGTGGCTCTCAGAGAAATTCGTCGTTATCAGAAAAGTACCGAATTGTTGATCAGAAAATTGCCTTTCCAACGGCTGGTCCGTGAAATAGCGCAAGATTTCAAGACCGATTTGCGATTCCAAAGTTCTGCTGTAATGGCACTCCAAGAAGCTAGCGAAGCGTACCTGGTCGGACTATTCGAGGATACGAACTTGTGCGCGATCCACGCTAAGCGAGTAACGATCATGCGAAAGATATACAGCTGGCAAGACGTATTAGGGGCGAACGTGCCTAATGGAATTGACGGATTTACTATTGCCGGAAAGAGAGAGAGAGAGAGAGAGAGAGAGTACGGCGTGCGATAATAGGTTATAAAAAAAAAAACGGTTCTTTTCAGAACCATCATATAGTATGTTCAGAAAAAGGGGATCGTGTATTATGTTAAGTATATCAGATTGTTGTTTGTACGCGTGCAATTTCGACACTATTATCGTGTATGCAAAATAGCGCTAAATGGTTATACGATAGTCGCTAGTTATTACCCGTTATCCTATATCGAAGGATTGTGGTGCTTTGTAGTAAACCGTTACATTGATATTATTCTAATAACGTACGAATTGTATGTATGTGTATGGAAGTAAAATAACTTATAAGTAGCATGTGATTATAATGTAGATAATTCGACATAATATAGATATTTTGCCGTATATATTGCTTAGGCGTTTAGGCAGGCTGTTAGCGTGTAATACGTAACATTAGGTACTTTCACGTAGATCAAAAGTCAGTAATGCGTACGTCTAATAATTAATATGTAGTAAGAGATGAATTTATAACTCGATCGCTCGTATATTATATATAATATTTTTCTACTCTGGCTTATTTATTACGAATAATAGATTGATGTCTCATATTATTATCTATTTTGTCATATTACAGGAGTAATGTTAAAATTATCGCGATATATTTCGCGACTGTGCACGTTCGGATGTACGCCAGACATACCTCCGTATAATTGCGATTATCTAAAATACCTTATCCATTAGCCGTATACCGACAGTATAATTGTATTACGAATAGTCGTAGATTGTTAATTTCATGAAATATCTAATTATATAACGTATTCGTATAATATAAATTAGCTCAAAAAAGCCGGACGATTAGGTCCAAAGCGGGATACCTTGCACGTTTCACCTTATATTTTATCGTGTACGTAGCGTACGTGATCAAGTCGCGAAGTTAAATGTGTATTTCAATTATGCAGATTTCATATTTCGTTCAGGTTTTAGCTGTTGCTCGTATGCAATTATATCAGCGACTCAAAAAACCAACAAATACGACCGCAGGCTTGGCAGAATTGAAAGCCGTCGAAAATCGGTTTCGCTGCAAAGTCGGAGCGTCAATGTTCGTCCGAACCGAAATGACTTGGTCACGACGCTGAATTTACCTCTCACATTCATTCGACATTCGTTCTCTTAGCGAGATCGTCGATCAGTGATTGCAAAAGATCGCGCGTATACAATAATCTGTCTCCTCTTCACGACTCGTAAACATGGCAGATACGGAAAACCAGAATTACGTACGCCGCGTCGGCTACGGCTACCGCGAATTCTGCGTCGCCGACGTCGCAGTCGTCTGCGAAAAAGGAGAAAAAACCGAAGAATCCGAGGGCGAAGCCGTCTCATCCTCCTACTAGCGAAATGGTCATCAACGCAATTAAAGGATTAAAAGAGCGTGGCGGGTCGTCTCTGCAAGCTATCAAGAAATACATAGCCGCTAATTACAAAGTAGACGCTGAGAAAGTTGCGCCTTTCATCAAGAGGTACTTAAAATCGTCCGTCGCGTCTGGAGCTTTAGTACAGACGAAAGGCAAAGGAGCTTCCGGATCGTTCAAGCTAGCTTCGTCATCGGCTGGCGGAGCGTCGAAAACTTCATCATCGTCAGCCGCAAAGGTTGGCGAAAAGAAGAAGAAATCCGCGACCGGCTCAAAGAAGAGCGGAACCGTAGCTAAGAGAGCTAGCGGTGCGAAATCTGCGAAGAAGGCATCTCCGAAGGCTAAGAAACCGGCGGTGGCCGGTGGTGCGGCCGAGAAGAAAGCTTCTCCAGCTAAGACAAAGAAAAGTGGGAAATCGGCGACGTCGGCTAAAGCTTCTTCTGCTGCACCTTCTGCAGCGGCTGCAAAAAAATCTCCTTCGAAGGCGAAGAAATCCAGCAAGGGAGCTCCGACCAAGAAGCCAAAAGCACCAAAACCGAAAACGGCGAAGGCTGCAACATCGCCAAAAAGGAAGGCCGCTTCACCCAAAAAGAAGAAATAAAAAAAAAAATTTAGACGTGTTGCAACGTCGTAGATTACGGCTACGTCGGTTCGAGACGTTATATTTATGCGAGAGGATGCTATACGTCCCCGCGGATTGAAAATGGCCCTTTTCAGGGCCACCACTATTACTATAAAAAGGATACAGAATATTTACGAATTAGCAATTTTGTATCGAAATATACATGTACAACTGCGGCTCGTACGTGCGTTGATGTTTTTTTTTTTTTTTTTTTTTATTAAATTCGAGTATTATTCGTTTACGATTAGGTATTTATAAGCAAGTGGTAATGTTAGGCGTCGTCACCATCGATATTTGCTTTTAAGGGTATAAATAAGTATGTATTGTGTTTAATTAAACGAATGAACGTTAAACAGTCGATTGCGTCGTAAGGATATCCCCTTTTTTTACGCTTTCGTTTACCATTAAATAATCCGGTCGGGTCTTATATCAGACGTTATTGCTTTAGTGGTGTATGTATATCACGAATAATCATCTGGTATTCAAGTACCAATAATATATATGTTGCGCGTACGGTGATATCATTATCTTTACTTGATAACTTTAGTGGTTCTGAAAAGAACCGTTTTTATGTTGTAAGTTGTTGTTGATGTTGTTGTTGTCGTCGTAGTTACATATTACTTCGAACTGGTGTACTTGGTTACGGCTTTGGTACCTTCGCTGACGGCGTGCTTGGCCAATTCTCCTGGTAGCAATAGTCGAACGGCTGTTTGAATTTCTCTGCTAGTTATCGTGGCACGTTTGTTGTAATGTGCCAATCGGGATGCTTCCGCTGCGATACGTTCGAAAATATCGTTGACGAAGCTGTTCATGATGCTCATCGCTTTGCTGGAAATACCGGTATCTGGATGTACCTGCTTCAGCACTTTGTAGATGTAAATTGCGTAGCTTTCCTTCCTCCTGCGTTTCTTTTTCTTATCAGACTTGGAAATATTTTTTTGAGCCTTACCGGCCTTTTTAGCTGCTTTACCGCTAGTTTTGGGTGGCATCGCGTTTCGATTTACACAAAAAGTACGATCTTTACTGACACAATATCGTGATCTATAATGGAAAGGTGTGCGGATAAACGGCGAGCTTTAACAGCCACGACGTTACCGACATAGACTCCGCCCCTTACGGGTGACCGACAAACGAAAACGGTGATTGGTCGGAGTAGTTATATAAATATACTCGTACCTAAAGACATTGCCATTCTATTCTATTAATTCGGTCAACGACAGCAGATTGTAGTCGTCGATTCGCAAGTCAAAAAAGAAAATAATAAACAAATAAACATGTCCGGACGAGGAAAAGGCGGAAAAGTGAAAGGAAAGGCAAAATCCAGGTCTAGTAGGGCCGGTTTGCAATTCCCTGTAGGTCGTATACACAGATTATTGCGTAAAGGAAACTATGCCGAACGCGTCGGTGCCGGAGCTCCTGTGTACCTTGCCGCCGTTATGGAGTACTTGGCAGCCGAAGTGTTAGAGTTGGCCGGCAACGCTGCTCGCGACAATAAAAAAACCAGGATCATTCCACGTCATCTGCAGTTAGCAATCAGGAATGATGAAGAATTAAACAAGTTACTTTCCGGCGTAACTATCGCCCAAGGCGGAGTTCTTCCGAATATTCAGGCTGTCCTATTGCCGAAAAAGACAGAGAAGAAAGCCTAAATAATAATAATAATAAGAAAATAACGTCAAAACTAGAAATCGGCCCTTCTCAGGGCCACACAATTCGTTTGTTGAAGAAAAAATAGAGATCATCGGATCAGGAAACAAAAAAAAAATCACGTAATATTTTGCCGATATTCCTTCATGCTGTTTGGGATTCAAGTAACAACAGCCCAATAACCGCATGATACAGTGTGATGTTACGTTTCTACGATACGGATCGTGACATGGAAAATGCAACAAATAATACCAATTCTTACTTACCGTAACATTTTATGTTTACCTAGCATCGATGGGTTGTGGAGCTCGACTATATGGAGATACCTTGGAGGGATAGTTACTTTCTAGAGGTACTGTCGGAATGATAGAACTTTATTCCAACGCAATTTTACATACAATGCCGCTAGTGTCTATAACGACAATCACGTTAACTCTCCCTCTCCCCCCCCCCCCCTCTCTCTCTGTCTCACACATTGCTCTTCCCCCCACTCCTCAAGGGTATGAGGTTGCCTGGAACAGGGGTGGTGGAGGGACCGCACAGGGTAGGAGGGTGTGTGGTGTGTGTGCGCGCAACATCAGTTCCGAGCTAGCAGCCGTTGCGAGTGTATACTTGCACGACTGCGACACACCCGGACATATTGAGCAATCTTATTGCGATAGATTGGTTGTTTGTCATTTACGATGGCGAAAATTGAGAAGCTGGCTAACCAGCTGAAAGAGAAGAAAGATGCTGTCGCCATGCTGGCAGAGCAGATGCGAAACCTGCAAGAAGCCTTCTTGCAAGCACAACAGGAGATCGAGGACCTGAACGGGAAGCTCCGCAGGGCCACGAAGAAGGCCGCAAAGAAGACCGAAGAAGGCGAGGCAGAGGACCACCAGGCTACGTCGGACGAGATGGACGCTCAAGAAGAGGACACCCAACGGACCGAAGAGGATAGGACCACGACAGAGACAGCAAGCAACGACGACACCGATTTCAGTGTCGCCACCAGACGGAAAAAAAAAAGCGGGTGCGAATTTCCTCCTCCGAAGACGAGACGCCAAGGCAGCCAAAGATGCCAGCTGCCGCCACCAAGAACGAGTCCTAGAGCAGCCAGGACCGCCGATGCAAACATGTGCCAACTGATCCAGAGCTATCTAACACAAAGACGGTTCGCGGTGAGGATTGGTACATGCCATTCAACACGACGACAGCTGGTAGCAGGCGTGCTCCAGGAGTCAGCCTCAGTCCCCCCTGCTCTACAACATCTATACTCATGACGTACCGAAGACAGCTCACACAATGCTGGCCCTATATGCAGATGACATTGCTATCGCCGCTAAGCATCGACGACCCGAGATTATCCGTAGCAGACTACAGGATGAACTGGACTGTTGCGTGAA